GCCTTATCTGTCTCACACAGAGAAGCTGGTGAGTTCAAAGTATTAAACTTTTGCAGCTGAGCACCTTAAATGTGCACTTCCAGGGCTCCTTCCAAGCTCTTCAGGGCTCAGTAAAGACCTGAGGGTGTGGACTCTGCTGGAGTGGGGGGTGCTCTGTTAGTGGCTTGGGGTAGACCCAGGCAGCTTAGCCCTCTGTGCCTCAGTTTCCCTTCCTGTGAACCGGGCACAACTTGGGGCCCCTCGCCCCACACCCAGCACACCTGTGAGTGGTTGCAGCAGCACCTTGGAGACGGGGTCTCCTGCGTACAGCCCGTGCTCAAGGACCACCAGCTCTGTGAGGCTTGGCTTCGGGTTCTCGCAGCCTGGGTGGAAGGCAGGGTGTGGGTCAGCTACTGCCCCAGGCTCCACGCGCCCTGGGCCCCGCCCCACGGCCATACCTGGTGTGCCCTCGATGCACATGGTGTGGGCCCGGCCTTCGGCGCTGCTCTTGCCAATGGCGTAGCTGATGGTGATGTGGCTCTCCTGCACATGCCCCCGCACCTGTGGGCAGGCGTGGCACACTCTGCTCAGGGGCAGAGCAGACAGCTTGGGGTGCCCAGGACTGCACAGAGGCCCCGCCGCAGAGGCCTTACCAGTGCCAGGTAGGCCTTGGTGACCCGGCGCTCCTTGAAGCACCTGTAGGCACTGCCGGCCGCTGCCTTGCTAAGGGCCACACAGAGCGCTCCGCTGGTGGAGAAGTCCAGCTGGTGGCAGAACCTGGGGAAGGCACGTGTCGGCTGAAGAGCCCGCTGCGGCCCTGCCCCGTGGCAGCCTGGAGCCCAGCTCTCCCTGCCCACCTGAAGCCGTAGTAGGTATCAGGGTCAGCCAGCTCGGGGAAGCGGTGCCTCAGCTGCTTCTGCAGCGTCAGCGTCTCCCGCCACGTCTTACTGTCGATGCGAATGTCCCAGTGCTTGTTGACTACCAGGAAGGCCCGGCTCCGGTACACGATGGACAGGTTGTCCATGTTGCCCGGCTCCATGGCAGCGCCTGGAGGAGGGAGGGCTGAGCAGGGGCGGGCGGTGGGCACAGGCCTGCGGCATCAGACACCCCTGCCCGAGTCAGATACCCCCTCCTGGCATCTGACACCCCCTACTGGAGTCTGCCACCCCCTCCTGGTGCCACACACCCCCTGCCCAGTCAGACACCCCCTCCTTGTGTCTGACACTCCCTCCCACATTAGACAACCCCCCTGCCCCAGTCAGATACTGCCCCCCGTGTCAGACACCCCTCATCTTTCCCTGTCAGGCACCCCCACACGTGAGTCAGATGCCTTCTTTCCATGTCACACCCCCTCCTGGAGTCACACACCTCCTGCCTGAGTCAGATACTTCCTCCCCACCATCAGACCCCCC